GCAATCCTATTAGGCTAATAGAGGGGACGTTAACGTAGTTCGTCAGTCTGAAGGGTTTCTTAGGTCTGAGATAGGTTCAATTTTTCTTTCTTCATCTGAAATAAGGTAGATGTGCTCTAGGTAAAAATTTCTAGAAATCTCACGTATTTTTAAAACTCTGGAATAATTACTCTGGAACGTCTTATGCGAGAGCATGACTCGACTTTCCAATACAAAAGTAATAAAGAAATTCTATAGTTAAAATTCCCGACAAAAGTTTACCCAACCACGTGGCCCAAGAGTCGTTTCACCTCCGATTAGTTCCAGCGTGCTCGATCATTACCATGCATTACGTTGCTCGTGATTTCAACAAGTTACACGAACGCAAGAAAACATTGCGATTCCCACATGTTCGAGGTAACGGGTCGAAAGTATCAATTACGAGGGAACCTGTGCCCAAGGAAAATTGCACGAGATCTCGTTGGTCGGACAACGTAGCGCGGAGCAATTGGACGAGGGTGGGCAGAAAAATGAACAGATACCGCGGGCAATGAATCTTGACCTTTCTCCCTCCGTGATCCAGGAATCTTTTAATGCCAGCGTGGATCGTCTGACGGTAAAAACAGCGGGGCTCGTTACGATATAACTCATACGCGGGCTCTTTCACGTCCCATTGGCGGGCCCCGCGATGAGAGACACGCGTTCGCAAAGCCTCTCGCTTCGGTCGCGTGGGGTGATCTATTGGTGGGACATCTGCCGCCGTGTCGTCATAGAGACGACGCATTTACAGGCAGCTAAGTGGCCTTTGCCCGCGGTTCCCGAAAGCGGGGCGATAAATTTCGCTTCGCCTCTTGCGCGACCCGCCTTTAATTTGACGGGCTGAGGCTCGTTACACTCGTTAGCAGCGCGAGCGAGAGGAAACGCGCGAGGACCTGGCCTGCAGACGCTCCAGACGACTTTTCGAAAGCACCCAGAATACACTTGCAACAATGCCGGGTGGCAGGTGAGTTGGAGACATCGCCATTGTTGCCGAGGAATCTCGTAACGAGACTTGGGACAGTTTTGGAGGCGGTGGTGAGGCACCTTGACCGTAGGGGATGAAATGTATGCGATGAGAATAGTATGAATGCTGGGATATGATTCTGAGATCGTGCGTAAACGTGTCGATTAGTTTGTCAAGTTACGTTTGTAGCGGACACAGGAATCTATGAGATCCTTTTAATAATAACTAATTTAATACTTTATTTACAGGCAATATGTCATTGATATCAAATACAATAACAAAAAGAAAATAAAAATTGTGTACCATGTTTGGCTAGATTACGCACACGCAAAATTGCACAATTGAATTTTTGAATGCCGAAGTTGATTCATGAAAAAGATTAACAGACATATTAAGGTTGTTCAATAACGGTCGCACATATTCTCGTAATGCAGTTTTGCTTACCTATTGAGGTACGATATGGATCAGTATAGAAATTAGTATTGTTTCTAAGTAACTAGTATCTTAGGACATTCGATTTCTCGGTTAAAAATTTTAAAAACGAACATACGGTCGGCTACAGTTCGGCGCTGCTTAAGAGTGAGCATTTGCATAGTGCACAGGATGTTGTCATAGTTGTGACATGCTATATCCATAGGTCTACCAATCTTGTAAGAGACGTATCTTAAGAATTGTATTGCACAATCATTTCAATCATTTTAGTACGACAAATTTGTAGTGGATTAAGTTCTTGAGAGGAGACAAGAATCTTTCATAGTGCTTTCTTCCAAACAATAATTCTCCGATAAACGCAACGTTTGAATGTCCTTTATGGATGAATGATGTACGAACTCGACAAACGAACCCAGAATGGCGGTGGTTCCTCCGCAGAGCACCGGAAGTGGCCGTTCGCGCGGTAGCTGATATTGTAATAAACAGCCGGCAGAGCGCGCCATTAATTGTGGAGGATCGCAAGGTGGTTCACGAACGGTGCAAGAAGGTGAAATTTAGTGAGCCACTGGTGGAAACGCGGAGACCCCTAATGGCCATTCCGATGACTATGGTTCTCGACCACAGCGGCTGCTCCCTACCCCGGCATCCCTCCGCCTTGCGCCCTCTCGCCTCTCGTTTTGGCCTGTCTCCTCCGCGGTTCTAACTCGTTTTCTCCACCCTGGTGCTCTTGGTCCTCGTCTGGCCGTATATGCAACGGCGTTCCAGCAATTACGCATCGCCGCAGTTAAATACAATGGCCAGGACAACGACTCTGTAATTTATCCCCGGTTTGGGCCACCGTCCGCGCGTTTATTTCCAACGCTGGAAGAGAACGTCCTGATCCCTCCTTGCCCCTCTCTTTCTCTCTCTATCTCCCTTCGTCCAGTAGCTCCTGTCTTTCTCCCGCGAACACACCATGGTCGGCGTTCTCCGCGTTTAAATTAATGATAATTAATAACGGCGAGTCGTATGGACGCCGTTCGTCAGCGGTGAAATACGGATGCTTCGCGGGGTGGCTCGCGACGCGCAGGATTTATTGGGATTATTAAAATGGGGGTGGTTATGCGGGAAACCGGGGGTGAAGGACTTCAGTGGTTTTCAGGGAGCAGTTGTTTTGACCTACGATCTCGTGGATTAGGTAAGAGATTTTGAAATTAGCTTAGGGGTTTGCAAACAATTGGGGTAAGCAAAGTATGTTTTTACCTTTGAAATTAGATTACTCGAGGAAGTGAAAATAAAATAAATAGTGAAAATGGTAGAGGTCCAATTTAATCGCGGTGGTGTTTGATGAAATTACCAATTAGGGTGGTTAAGGGGGTGAGTGGGTGTAATGGTCAACCATAACGACTTGGTAATTTGTCCTCGGTTTAGGTCAGCAGACAGTTATCGTTCTTGAACGAGCATCCCAGTAAATGTTTGATGTTAAATAGTACTGGGGGTGCGTCGCATAACTCGTCCGCCATGATACGCGCATATACTCACTGTTAATGGAGCGATCAGAATTTTTTCAGCCTGAATTGTTTGGTTCTGGAAGAAGCGTGCTTATTGCCATTTGATTCTGCAAACCTGTGAGTTTATGAATGCATATAAAATATAAAATTCAAGAGATCGTCAAAAGGCAAGCAAGTTTATCAAACCTGCGTGATTATGATTATAAAATCATAAACTTCTAATAGTAAAATTTAATCAATATTAGATATATCAATTCGAGAATAATCTAACGGAACATTTTCCGTAAAAGTAGCGAATTCCTGAAGGGAGACGACGTTTTCACTAAAGAGTCGGAAGTTTGTAAAATCGATTTTACCTTTGCTCGCGAAAATACCGTTGCGCGCAATTACGTCGCACAATGCAACGGGCCGGCGATAGAATTACCAATTAGGGATCGTCACGGTTAAATACAATGGCCAACGACAACGACTCTGTAATTTATCCCCGGTACGAGCTACCGTTCGCGTGTTGTTTTCGAACGCCGGAAGAGAGGATCGTTGTATGTATCCCTTGGACGCTGAATCGCGTTGCGGCCTCCGCGTTCAAATTAACGACAATTAATACCGTTCGCCGCGTCTAGCTTATTCGAGATCGGTCGTTTAATGCGTAAATTTCGATGGAAATGGAAATTTCGTGTTAATTCCGTCAACATTTTATCATTCTTATCGATCTTGCGAGCTGAATTTCTCTGGTCATCAAACTACTCACGTGTAGATATTATCATCATTGTCCTTAATGGAGTCGATCATGATATTGATCATGATCATTTATATTTAATATACGATACGTTTCTACCTCCGGTTTAAGTCTTCTTCGTTATATATAAATAACAATCAGGACAATGAGACACGTATCCTTAAATTACCTTCTCTAGTATCACTGTTTCTTTCTACAAGTTTCAACATCAACTAACACAACTTTTACCGGAAACAACTCCCCTCCCTGCAGTTTCCCTACTCACAACTGATCAGATTTTTCCAAAGGAGAAGCAACAATTATCTCCCATAGAATTAGAAAGTAAATAAAGCAACTAAAACGTCAATTTTCGTCGGTTAATTTTCGATCGCCGGATACCGCGATCATCATTTGTAAGTCCTTCGAGGATAAGAGTTACGCGCCACTTCGACTAGCGGCGAGCGTTTCAGAATCCGAAAAGGTACGCTTGTAAATCTGTTGGCGAGCGGCAGCGTATGGCAGCGCGTCTAAACAGGTGCGCGTATATCGCTTATCCGGCGTCGATCGCCGCCGCCATGTGCGCTAATGCGTTTGAACTAAATAGTCGCGCACTGTCATCCTCGCAGCGTTCCATTTGTCGGTCGCGCTAGGGATAACGGGTGGCTCGTTAATTCGGGATCAATTAGCGCGTCACGGCGCGTCACCAGCGAATGGGGCGTGCACCGGAGGCGTCCCCGCTCGCCCCCTACCCTCCGCGATACGAATATTTCTCGGCTACGTAAATTCTACTAACTACGTTCCCGCTTTCGCCCATAAACGTTCGCGTTTCCTTTCCTTTTCTTTTATTTTGTTTTTTTTTTTTTAATTTCACGAGGGGACGAAATTTGTTAAAAGTCGAAAATCGTCGAGCGGTTGCGGCGCAATTATTCTCGATACTTAAATTTCTTCGAAAGGATACTCGCGGTTTGGAATGCCGGGTGATTAAATTCCTCGTTTAATATACAATGTAATGAGGAGAAACGCGTGAGTTGAGGAGAATTCATGCGAAATCAGATATTAATTTGATTATATTAATTTGTGGAGCATTGATTTATGGAACAATAAATTGGTAAATACTGCTCCAAGATGGAGCGCTCTTTAACTTTTAAAATAAGCGAGCCGCCAGTAATCGAAACATTCTCCCAACCAATTTTTCTAATCAAAATGATGAGAACCTTCCACAAAAAAAAAACAGCACACCGCTTCGGTGGACTCGTCACGTACTTAGAAAGGAAGATTTGATTGGATAACTGCACCTGGATGAATCGCCTGGAGGAATTCGAGGGCAGGAAAATAACACAGAAAGAACAAGCTGGTATTTTTAATTCGATTTAATCGGTGGCAACATGTAAGCGGGTTACATAGATTATATCGACCACTTATTGTGAGACACTGGGATATACGTGTATATACCTTTCGAGTCTGTCTACGCGTATAACATATACATGTATATAATCGTCCGTACGTTGGTAGAATAATTAGGAATATACAGTGTGAGATCGTTTTCGTGTTCACGCGACCGTGCGCACTCATACATACAGAATAATATATAGAATCTTCGCGCTGCTATTAACTTTATCTCGTATCATACATATACACATTACGGACCAGTCCTATTTACAACTATGTACAGAGAAATAAATAATTTAAGCGTCTAATCGATAAGGATCGGTATCGAGCTCGCGCACCAGAATCGTACCCGAGCCGATACACATGCACGAGTCGATAAATATAAAGTCTCAGTCGGCGTACGATCGTACCAACCAGAAAGAACACGCTGTTCCTCTGACGACTGTCGTGCTTTTCCTTTTAACCCTCCTCTTTCGCGCGGGTTTTGTTTTATTTCTCGAAACAGAAATTATTGGTTGGATATTTACATATTCATGAATTAATCGATGTTGGAGCCGAGTGATAAGTGGCCGTCAGAGCTGTGTTAGACGTGTCCAAGAAAAGTTTATCGAAATTAACGAGAAATGTTTGTGTTATCAATTCGTGTTCCGCAAGTGAGGGATTAAGGGACTCATTGTTTCGCGATTCATTCTCTTTACTATGTCTCCGTAGAGTAGAAAATTGGTAGTATTTGGTAGTACCTTAACTAGGGGATCGCTGTCCCCGTCCTTGTTATCGATTTCTTTTAATCACTGCTCATAGACTCTTAAAAACTCTCGAAGAATCCATAAAACTATCGACTTCCCGTCGCATAGAAGATGGTAAAGGCCTCTAGACTTGGAAATTTCCACGAACCAGCAATTTCGGTTGCGAGGGCACCATTGCTTCATCCTCGATATGGTAGCTAGGCTCATCGATAAAGCTTATCTAGCGGATCCCGTCTCGAACTCCGCACTATTAATCGTTCGAACAATCTGGTCAAACTAATTATGTACTAGTAAACTATCGAGTAACTAGAGACTGTGCTCCAAGGATTAATAGCGTCGCGTCTAAGCCAGGGTCTGCTGGATAAGCCTTACTAATGACGTCGGCTAACAGATTCGAGCAGAAACGCTGGAACGTTACTACGAGTATCAAAAATACTAATGAAGGAATAGGAGCGCTGTGTTCTGATTAGTGTGAGTAATTATATGACCAATGGGTGATCAATTTACTTTGCTCGATAGTACGAGCCTTGTTATTTAAAGAGTAGAGCCAAAGCATTGTACACTTTCTATATTTGATAAAGAAGGAAGAAGTATTGGGTTGTCTGGAAAATCCACGTCGATCTTTGGTAGGTGGTACAGGTCTGAATATATCGAAATGGTTGGAAACAAATAACATCTGTACATTCCTTAAAAGGTGGAAAGATTGTGGAGCAAAATAGTACCTATTCAAAATTGGCACGAACTTTCTGGACGACCCAATAGTAATACCTTTTCCTCCTTGTTTCAACCGTCACTTGGACACAGTTCAAAGAATTTCTGATACTGCTAAACGAAATTGATCGTATTCTCCACCCTCTATGGCTTCTAAAATACTGCGATGGTAATTGATGGTAACCTCCTTCTATCTCTAAACCACCCCCAAGTGCAGGAAAAGCCCCACGGTCTGGATCAAGTATGCACATACTCTATGACTCGAAATGGAAGGCCTCGACCAAACTCATGCGAGAAAAAGCGTACAGCCTGAGTCTTTACTGCGGATGAGTGCCCCCAGTCACGGTGATTTCCTCACCGTCCTCGTCCACGGGCACCGTCGAGTGATCGTACAGGCCTTGGGCCATCAGCTGCAGCTGCAGGGGATTCTTCTGGCCGCTGGCCTTCTTAATTTTCGCCCTCTTGTTCTGGAACCAGATCTTGATCTGTGCCTCGTTCAGTCCCAGGTCTCGCGATAGCTGCTGCCTCCTTCTCTCGGTTAGGTACCGATTCTCCGCGAATTCTCTCTTCAGCCTGGCCAGTTGCTCAGCGCTGAACGCCGTCCTCGGTCTTTTCTCCTCGGGGGAGGCTGACTTGTTGGGGTTCTGGGTCCGTTTCACCCTCCGTGTCCTTGGACCTGAAATCGTTAAAATCATAAAAAATATTTTCAATGTTCCTTCAATTTTTCACAACTTAAAGGTAATTGTTAGTATTAGATAGGATAGCTACAATGGCCGAAATAATGATAATAATGGTGCTTGTTATTATTCCGCAATAAGGTGCCCAACACCTTCTAAGAGCAGTCAGTCGAATATTAAAAGCGTTAGTGTGGAAGAGGTACTTGTTTCAAAAACACTTTGAAAATTCTCGGGTACAAGATACGAAATAATCTTAGGTTCGCGGTGAAATTCATGAGAAATACTATTGATAGTGCAATTTTTTGAACGTTTTTGTATGGTAAGTACACAGATTTATAAAGTTTAAAAATGATAAAAAATATTTTATGTTGGTTTAGTATTTTTAAAGCACTGTAGCAGTTGTGTGAGAGTGCTTCATGTAGCCAGAATCGTGATATCAATAAAATTATTCAGTAGAGCTTGCTCGGGCTAGGACGACTATGAATTATAAGGAAGAAGGCTCAGTCTCGGGAGGAATTGCCAGTCGTGCGTGGTCTGTCGACTTTCTAGACATGGACCACGTCCCCTGTTATTCATGGTGCCGCATTCCCCTTAACTGGGGTCCAATCTTTCCGTCTCCCCCGCGATACACTCGAATTCGCGACGGTGCACACCCACGATCCGTAAATCCCGCTGAAACAAATGACGCCGGGGGAAGATTTATAGGCGAAGTTCGGCCAAATCTTCCGCGCGACAAGTATGTAAATGGTAATTAAGCGGAACAGAATGAGGTCCCCTTGAGGCGGTGCTCGGCTGCCTGACTATCTGCGCGACGGCGGATAATTTTCTTTTGCAACGAGCATCGAACGCGGTTTTACCTGTAGCTGCTATCGAGCCAGGCCTAGATTATCACCGTGTGTTTCCAAATTGGGTGCGCGCCTAGACCCAGACGGAAAAAATCTATGTCCGCTGGCCCCGACGCGTGTTCGCTCCGATGAATATTTATAAGCGGCATGACATCGAGACACGCGCTATCGATAGCGAACTGGCCATCGAACGCACTTTCTTTACTCTCGGTTGCGTAACGGACCGAATTGTGAAACGTAATTAAGCTAACCCCTGTGGAGCTAAGTGAAAGAATTCTTAAAAAAGAGTGCTGTAGAATTATTAGATACCCTTCTTGAGGGTTGTAGCACCCCAGTGATAGCGTAAAAACATATAAAAATCCAAGAAGCTATTATGCGCTTTTTCCTTCAGTTAAAAATTGTTTCGGTAGAAATTAACCCTCATCGTCGTATTTGTTTCAGTGGGGAGAACACCTGACGAAGACTCCAAGAAAGACAAACCTGACTCAGAGCTGAGGTGGTAAGTAAACATATAAGAATATGATAGAAGATAAAGGTCACCCCACTAAATCCCCAATTCCAACCCAGTCCCCCATCTCAGCTGCTCAGAAGCTCCTCGCCAGGGTAGCTCGCGATAGTCGAAACCGAGAAATTCCGTGTTCGCACTCGATTGAGATCTAGCATCTCCGATCGATCACCCTTGGACGCGCTCCTTAATTAGCGCCCGATGGGAAACGTGGATCACGATTGGGGGTAATTAGTAACACGAGTGGCGCGGGACCACCCTGAGCGGGCAGGACCTTAGACGCGACGTATCTGGGACACAACGATTGCTGGGGGATGGTAGATCGCGGATATAGGCTGCGGACAATTAAGTTCTGCGAACGAGCGCAGGTGGTATCGAGTGGTACGTTCATGCCGCGGCAACTCGATGTTTCAGGCTCGCGATTATACATGAGCTGCGCGGCTGAGATCGCGAACACTCCGGTAACGCTAAATCGGAACTGGAACGACTGTTCGGGAAACTGGTATTTCTTTACGGAACCCAATCGCCGCGAGTGTTGCAAATAGCCGCGTGTAATTAGGCGAGCGCGATTTTTCGATAGAGCCTCGCTATCCCGGGAAACGCGCGTCGATTTACATAGGAAACTGGTTTCCAGATGTAACGGTCGCCAAAGTCAATTGATTAAGCGGATACGGAGGAACGCTGGAACCAGAATCGCTGCTATGGCTAAGTAGTCGCGCCGCACTTCCTTGATAGCGCGATTAACCAAGACGTATCTGTCCGTTGTGCGACGAGGACACGCGGATGGTCCTTGGGACGATGAAAATAGTCGCTATTGAGGACGTTGCCAATGTAAGTCACGCAATTTCGTTTAAAGTTGAATAAGTTCAGAATAAAGTCATGTTTTGTGAAGTATGTGACCAGTGAGGAAGTAATGAATAATACAAGTAAAAGAAGAACTCAGAAGATCCGAATAAGGAGGATGCAGAGAACTATAAGAAGCAAGAACACCTTTCACCGATACCAACTAAATTTTAAAAGAACCTGCTACACCTACCGGAAGAGGGCCTATCGGAGTATCTGGTGCAGTAGACCCACGCAGGGAAAGGACTCTGTCCGCTCAGTCCACCCGGTGTACTCGAAGCTGTGCTGGGTGTGCTACCAGAGCTGCTGTCTCCGCTCAAAGAATCGCCGCTGATGGTGGACGACGTGGATCCCAAAGTAGGCGCTCCTGTTACGGAGCTTCCCGTAACGGAGCTTCTGCTGCTCGCCAAGCTCTCGAGGCTTCCGCTCCTGCTGAGGGCGCTGTTCCTCTGCAGAGGCGAGGTCAGTCCGCAGTGGGACGAAAACAGGTCCCTCTCTCTGTGCACCGAAAAGCTGGACGCCTGAGGTCTCGAGGGCGACAGTCTGTTGGACGACAGGCTCAGATCCCGCGGCAACGACAGAGGACTGTGTCGCGGTATTGGAATTGGGATCGTCGAGTGTCCACTGGTCAAAGTTGGCTGCTTGGGAGCTTTCGTGCTAAGAATCGCCTCTCTACCGAAGTCTGGTCTCAAAATGTTCACCACGCTGAATCGTAGAGGCGCCTCCGCGTCTTTCCGATCCTGTTGTTGATCTTGATGGGGCACCACGTGTCTCTCCGGAGATCGAACTCGATGGGGATGGTGGTGATGATGATGGTGGTGGCCACCGAGCCCCAGTCGAAGACCGTACGCAGCGTCCATCGTTACCAGAGCTACGCTCATCTTTTGATTCTTCGAATCGCCTTGCTTAGGGCTGATGTGAATATCTCTGATGACAATTGGAAGATCGAGTCTAAACTTGGACGCTAGCCCTCTGTCGTCATCATTGCGAAGGAGCACGAAAGCACGCTCGTTTAATTACATTCAACTGTCTATCGGATGAATGTGTCACAATGTAGGTCGCAACACTGATATTCACAAGCTAGAGGTCCTTTAGAGTCTTATGATCACTGACACGTGTCACTGTACCCCCTTCACTGATTGTTTGTAAACACGAATCGTCCCTTGACTTCGCGTCACCGAATTTTCAGGGTCCTCGTGCGTTATCGCGTGATGTTTTGGACGATGATGCGCCGCGTCGATCACGTGGCTATGGTTCGCCTAACAGCGAGACGCCGCAGAGTCCGGTGTCCCGGTTGCCCTAAGCGAGATTAACGGTTCGACGCTGGATCTGCCCAAGCCTGAGACAGTCTCCTTCGTATTGGCTTTTCCCGAGGTTTCCGAGGACTCGAGCGAGTGCTGTGACGGGTCTGACTGGCTGTCCATCCGTCGCTCAGTGATGTCTAAACTAGGGGAACTGTGGTCCCTACTTACCGCTCTCCCCTCCGCCCCCCCATCGCCCCTTCACTCCTCCTACGCCCCAGCCTGGAGTGCAGTGCACTAGACACCCTCGATTGTATCTCTATTAACTCTACAGTCACAAGCTCCGCCCTCTGCCGTAAGGTCTACCTTACTCCCCTCTCGTTGACGAGTCCCCACCACCAGTGGCAGGGATAGTAGGGGGGCTGGAGCTAGAGTCCGCTGCGATCGATGCCGCTGCAACGCTCCAGTCTCGTTTCAACAGCGACGCGATTTTTGTCCTATTCGTTGCTCCTTCCACCCTCGCACCGTTTCGAGAACCATCTGCTCCTGCACTTCTTGCGAACTGCGTTGCTTCTTATACAGTTCCGAAATAGTCGGTCACTCCGATGTTAAACTTTCTTGAGACTATACGGGCTTCCTTGAGATTACTCTTTAACCATTTACATACTCCTCTCAGAAAATTAACCGAAGATCCTCGATAACAACTTAGGGATCGATCTAAATTGAGAAATCGATTAATGAAATTTACGTTTTCGAAGCCAAGTCACGTCCGTCTCAGAGTTTTAGCCGAAGAATCGAAAGTATCCGCGCCACTGCGAATCTTAGGAAGAGCCGCAGCTTCTCCCCGCCCCATTTTAATCCCCCACCCGCGTTCGCGCGGAGATATCGCCCACATTCTCGCCCCTCCCTGCGACGCCACGCCTACACAGCCTCCCCTCCCACTTTACCGGTACCCACTACTCCATACTTTTGTTCCTCCCCACCAAGCTCTCCCATCCAGGAGGCAGCTAATTCATTTCTTCGAGTCGACAAGCGTTCTCTCGCTGACGTGGATTTTATCGTGGCCGACGTCGAAATTGCTTTATACAAAAATTTGCCCGAGCGTCTATCCAGCTCCAACGCCTTTTTTCGGGGTGGGGCTCCGGGACGGTTAACGAACAAATGTATTATCCATCTCCGCGGCAGATGCTGGCCTGCAGACTCCCTTTCCGCGTCCGTTCTCTCCTTGTTGCCTCCGCACTTCCGACTACGTTCTGTCACGTGACTCTGCTTTACGGTCGATCAATCGTTAGGCCGCTTCGTGTTCGATCCGAGGGATTGAATTGATTGTTTGTTCGGAGCTGGATTTGTGACAGCCGTTGCTCTTCGAAGGGTTCGTATCCTCGACGCTGATCGTTCGATACGACCACGTGACAACTTACTTACGGCCAATTTTACTTGAAAATTGAGAATTTTAAATGGGTAGTCAAGAATGCTATCTTTAGAAAGCGAATTCTTTGAGTTTCAGAAATTTCTTGAATGGACAATAAAGTTTTAAAGTGATTGGTATTGGAGTAATTAAATTTTTGCTAGCGGATAATTTTTTGTAGGAGTACGTACGCCTCATCGAAACGAATGTTACATCCTCGAATAGAACACAAAATAAGCTTCCAAAAAATATTTTTCATATCTCCCTTAATCGCGAGGACTCAAAATGGAGTTGTAGCTAATACTGCCCGACGCATCAATGCTTCCACGCCATCGCTCTAGGCATTATATTCCTATCGCTGATACAATTCTTTCAACAAGTTCTTTTCTATATCATTTCTAAGAAACCTATCCATCTACGCGTACAAAAAAAGAGAATTCGTTTTTGTTTCGACGCAAATGAGGTATAACACCCTATTGACGGTGAAAGGTAACTTATCGCTTCCGCGAGTTTAGATCGCCACGATTCCGTCGTGTGTTTAAGGACAGTCGGCGTAATTAACGTCATTAGAAACAGCGATGTCACACTCCACCGATGCAGGGAAAATTACAGCTATTAACTCTTTCAACGTCTAATCGAGCGAGGCACTCTTCTTCTGTGGAAACGTTATTTGCTCGCGACACGAAAGGAGCGAGCCTATGCATTGCAAACACGCGAGACTCTTAACCAGCCGTCGTTAAAAACGCTGCAATTAACGACCGTAATCGAATTCATCTACAAGGAGGTCACACACACTATCGCGCGATACGCGTTAGCCTGCAATTAACGAGTCGTTCACGTGTCAAACCAACGTGGACGGTTATCGATCATTTGTTACATGATTTCTGGACACGTGAGAGAATTGCACCGCCAGATGTTAAACAAAAATGGTGTTTCTACTTGGTTGCTTTCGGCAATTCAACCATTCCCAACGAGACGCTAATCGCCGCGACACGTTCAATATTTTATACAAGATAGCCGGTAATTGTTCAAGTGATACGATAATCGTGGAAACGCGACTAATTTGTTGATGTCAAATTTCTTTGTCACCTTTAATCGGTAATGCAAATAGCGCGACAACCGTGGCGCGATAAGATACTTGTTCGCCAGTTTTTCACGTCGGGGAAATACCCGCGTTTCGCGGTTAACTCGTTTATACGCGTGCGAGAAACAGTTGCGCGCCAGAGGCGTTCGAAAATTTCGTATCTGACCGCGGTCGGATTGGCTAACCGAACGGAAGGCGACTCCTTTGTTCGAGCAACGCCAAGTTCGCGAAGAAACGTGTAAGATCGTTGTTACGGTCTACGGTTTTATTAATGACCACACCTAGAGGGATACCAGCTGCCACGTGAACCACAAAGCGATCGTTAGTCCCTGGCTCGATTCGTGTAAGAACAATAATAGAGATAGCCGCCATAAATAACCTTAACGTGTCTATCGATCAATAGAGGCCTCGTCTAAGAGCGGGGCCGCATTCTATACTACTTTCGAGCCGGAACATGGACGGGAAGGGATCGAGCCTCCGAACTAGTTTTCAACAACGTCTTTCTCTGCTCCAAAACACGTGGTATTCGTCGGCGATGCTCCGAAATTCGACCAATAATCGACCTGGCCTTTTAGCTATGAAAATTTGATTTGTAAGTGGAAGTTTAGTTCGCGAGAAGGCTCCTTCGGGGGTAATTGACTCGTGAAAGTCTTGGAAAATATCGCGTTGATAGGTTTGTAGGTGGAAATTGTTAACCCCTTCGTGGTAACGATATCGTTTTTTCATTTTAAGGTCTGCTCGCTAAACTCATTTGGTTCGGTATGCTTTTTCAAGATTACAGTGCCTCAGATGCTCGAAAATCGGTACCATCAATTATCAATTAGGGAAGCACGGGTAGAGAATTTTTTCGCGAAGAACAGCGAGCCTCAACCCCTGGTTTGATTAGTCGCCTGAAGCATCAGCGTTACCAGCAGATGTTCCTAAAATGTAGCACGTTCCAGGAATCCGTATTAGACCTGAAATCGAGCCATAAACGCAGAGGTTTACGGGTGGCACTAGCTGAAGAAACATAAACAGTGGTGGGAACGACTCCTGGTCATGAACACACTTGATCAATATCTGAAACACGATACAACGATAAAGCAGCCTACACAATTTAAATCACATTTTCGAGAAAGCACTCCGAAGTGCATTAAGAAAGGAAATAATTTGCCGCTGCGTCCAGCTGCTAGCACAAAAGGGTTAACACGTCGCGAGTACAATCTCCTTTCGCCTACTACATCAGCGATCAACCTCAAGATTGACGATCTGTACAATATTAACAAAGCAAATATGTTCGACCCATTTCTTCCAAAACGCCGGCTCGCAAAAACGGAGCCGCTGTTAATTCATTCGAACACGGCCCTCGAGTGGCCAGCCAGTGTTCCGACAGCAGCCAAAGGGCTTTCTGCGACGCAACGAGGCCCAGACGTTGTCATCCATCTCTCCGTTGCCAATGTATTCCAACAAGAACGCTCCATCGCAGGGCAAACGCAGTTAATTCGTTCGTTAGAAGCTGATCCCTGCGCGCAACGTCGAAGGACTCCGATCCAAAAGAGAAAACGCCTAGGGCGAGACCAATCGCGAGGCTCGTACGTCGGGGATTGATTGGGTTTTTCGTTGGGCTTGCAAAAGGAAGAACGGGACGCGGGATCTCGCCGCGGCGATCATTATTCCCCGAACGCGATTTGTAAACGGGTTCTATTTATGGCACTGCAAACTCTATAATCAGCCGCCGCAGGGGCGACGACTTATTTAGAATAATTAATGCAGGTACGACCTCGCCAACCGGTTCCCGACCAATCGAACGTCGAGCGTCCCCACTGCGTTGCTCCCACAGGGGAAGTTGGGGGCATGGTCGATCGCTGGCGACGCCCAGCGATGCTCGATACACATGCAACCTCGCGTGCGAGCGCCCCTCCCCTCTCACGCTGCTTTTTCGAGGGCCCAGCGATATTTTCTAGAGCAGAAGCCTGCGCGTAGCCATGCGCGTCCGAAGCAGGCGTCGCGAAATCCTCCCGCAATCTCGCGGCTTCAGGCGCAATTTTTGAGAATCGCTTTCGACGACGTCGTTTCTGCGAGCTGGTGCACTAAGTGCGACGAAAGTGTGTTCCATGTCCGATTCACGATTAGGCTGCAGTGACACGGGTCAGATGGATTCGAGTATAATAGTTGAATTGGAAGTTTGGATGAGGTCGATTGTATTGTATACATCATAACGTAGGTTACCAATCTGATGACGAACAAAACATTAATCGAGTAGCTTTCGAATAATGCACCCTCGATATGCTTAAAAGTACAATGAATAAAATCCCTGTTATCATTTTGAACAACCAATTCCTCGTCAATTAAATACACGTCCATAACTCCATATCATCCTTCCGAAATGTACCCACGTCCTCCAAGCGATCATCTTCGACGTTTCGAGATCTCTGAAACGATTCAGTTGGCCAGACGTACGTCTGGCCACAAATGTTTTCTGCCAAGGAGGGGAAGGCTTTGGTAATAAATGCGAGCGTCGGGACGCGTGAATCCAGATAACTACGCGATCAATCGGGCTGATTGAAAGTATCCGACGGGCCAGGCCTGTCGTACATCTACGAAAGTGCACTCCCCCTTTAAATCCCCTGGCCAGACACACCCCCGAGCCACACGAGATACGCCGTCGATGATTCCCCTAATCCCGTTTATAAACACTCGTCGAC